TTTTCAGTGTCTACTCCGATATGAGCATTGAAATTGCCCGTTTGAATGGCCAACTCCGTTGTAGGCACTTCATACAGAGCACATTCCGCTTACTCAAGGAAGGATTCATGTTCTCCCTCCAAATTGGATGCATAGTTTATAACAAGGTCAATGCAGTAGTCTGTTGTATCTTCAGTTGGAAGATTGCCACTATTCCGGTGAAACGCTTGCATTCAATGATTCTATCAGCCAGGTTGGTTTCTGCCAGACATCAATACAGGCCTGAGCTGGGGTCGTGATTTTGACATGAAAATGATCTTTCACGCGCAGAGGCTGAGAATTCCGGAGCCTTAGCGTTTCGTTGACGTGAATCCCACTATGTCGAGTTGATACCTTTCTGCCTCATGAACCAGTTCTTGCTCTTTGCCTCTGAGTTAGGATTTGTTCCATTTTATTACTGAAAACTTCCAACGTCGGTGTCGCTCTCGTGGACCCTTCTCTGACGTGCCGTAATGGCATTGTGTTGTCTTCCTCATCCGTTCAGGACTGGTAGCAACTCCGTTGCTGATTGGTTTGTTCGTGGATCTTCATCAGCCATTGTTGTGCTGCCATGCTGCTGGATGCCGGTAGGCGATGAGTAGGTTCTGATTGCTGAGTTTTGGCAGCAGTAGGCCTCTGTCCCGCAACAGCATGTGCGGCGTCTGGTACCCTGGGGTGACGACCGAACCATTATAATATTTGATGACGGAAATATCAACAGGAGCAAGTAGCTAAGTTTAACAGAAACTTTGCCACCGTCTTTATTCCTCATGCTTTCTTATCCGAGTTTGCAACAGGCAACAGCGAAGTTGCTTATCTCTTATATAAAGATAACTTTCTCAAAAGAAATAATTGACCAAATGGAATGAAATGTTATCAAAGCCGCCCTTTCGCCAAGGAAATTGCGGTTGAATGGCAACGATAATCCATTCCGAGAAAAATTTTAAAGATTTCATGCTGACGCGGTGAACCAATGAATAGTAGAACCGCGCCGAAAATTTGTCATTTTAAGTTAACACTTTAGCAGCTGGGAAGAGCAGGCAGCAGTTGATTTTTGCACAATTTTAAAGCCAGGCTTTAAAAATTATATAATGTATTTTTGGAATTTGGCGATACTGATTTTCCTGATAACAAATACGCCACAAAAATTAAAACTTGTTTACTTGAAGTTGAAGTATTTTAAGAATATGACAGATAAAATCTACCTGTTTTCTACCGCAGATCCGGAAGGCGCAACGAAACGACAGTGCAATCCACAAAAGTGTGCCGAATGCATCGATTGTCAATAATTACAGTACTATGATTAGCATTTCGGTGAATTAATCGTGTAAAAATTATTCTTATCATCAATATCATTCATAGAGGTTTCTCTAGCGCCTTCAGTTTTTGTCTCGTAGTCATTTGCTATCACACTCTCGTATGGCATAGAGCGTAAGAGGTGGACTTTGATATCAAACTCCAGAGGTATCGGTTGACATTCCCGCGGCGGATATTCTTTATTTTTACAAACGGTTCTCTTTGACAAAGAATTCAGCAATGCGTTGCTTTAAACCGGGGTTACTCGGTAGTTAGATGATAGACTCTGAGCCAAGAGGACCTTGCCTGAAGTATTGGGCGGGGTCACTCGCAGTTCTTTCTTCCGATATTGGTATGTTCATACCAATCTAATCACTGAAAGGGAAAGAAACAGGAGAACATAAACTATGCCTCTCACACGACTGCTGTCCGTCCTGCCTTCAATAATAAGGCACTTCTGGCTGACATTATGGAAATAGAGATCAGCACTCCACACTACAAACTTCATAAAAATAAACGTGCTGGAATTAGCTCAATTATACTAGTGTAAGGAAAAAAACTGTCTAAACTTAACGGTTTACTCTCTTTACATTTATCTGCTGCCGTCCTAAGCTACTGGCGATTCATGTAGTACATCGCTTACATGCCTTAGACACCGAGAAATGCTATCGTAACCTACAGCGCGGCGATATGTACCTGAAAATCTTATTTACCCATTGGTTTCTTTGAAATCTGTATTGTGAAATGGGCGATGCCGGGTTTTTCAGGGTTAGTAGAGTTTTATGATATTGATGCGTATAGATTAGAACAGTTTATTCTATTTTTAATTTGCCATATATAGGGTACCAGCGCTGAACAGGACAATCGTTTTACAGACAAACAAAAGAAATTATTGAAGACACTTAAATTCCCAGAAAATGTGTCGCAAAAGGTACGGAACGTACGTTGCTTTCAGATTTGTACTCTTTTAATTAAGGTCGATCTCAAGAAGGTCAACTTAGACCTACTGAAGCCGTGGATTACTCTTCGTGTTAACGAAATTTTAGGAGTGGAAGACGATGTCGTCATCGAATTCATATTTAGCCAGCTGGAAGAAGAGGTTCGTGTATTTTAACATCTTACGAGCCCCCCGATTAAATAAATGAGGCTTCTGCGTCTGTTTTGCAATTGCGCGTGTTCATTATTGTTTTGAACCTTCGATTGCGTGTTCTGAAGTTTAGCTTCTTCAGCACGTCGATCTTTGACGTTTCTATGAACTGTAGTAATTTTCTACATTTAGGGTAGAATGTAGTATTCTCCCATAATGGATGTAGCCATCGTGCTTTGTGTGTTAACGCCTGGTCGGTTCGCCTACCGAATTTTCGGCATCTGGCTGAATCTTTGTCTCTAGGTCTGATCGAAATCCAGTATACGTCTAAATGTTTTGGTGTATATCAGATACACCTCTGTATTCATAATATATTTTTCGGCGGCGGAATTGGTAAGCTGCCATTCTTAGTGGTTACCCCAGACTGTCGGGGTTATATTTGTTGTTTTCTCTATATCTTTCCACGATTAGTGAGAGTATTGCTGGTCATCGAACGTGTTCTTATTCGGCTCTACTTAATGGCATGGCATGGTGTATGCGTCATACGTGCTGCAGGCGCTGAAATACCATGGAGCTGTGACCCTGGTTAAATGGTCCTTCTAGGTGAGTAGAAGTAAGGCAACGGTGCAGTATTGCGGGTCAGTCCAATTTAATGATTGCCAGCCGTGTTACAGTGCAGCAATATCGCGATCAAGTAACCTTACTTGATCGTTTTTCTCGCGTAAATTCGGTATCAACAATTGAAAGATATGATTATTCAGCAGTTCAGTAATTTATGAATTTGAATACGTTTGCCAACATTCAGTTTTTTAAGTTTTGCTTTTCACTCTTTATCTGCTGAGTAATTTATCTAGTAACTGAATTGTCACTGATCATGTGTGTAACACATAGATATTGCAATTTAGAATCCAGACCCTAGGCTAATGCAAATAAACCTGACCGGATTTTTGAATGCGAAAAAGGCTAGGGAATTCATGGGCGAACTTTGGCAACTTCTTATTGACGCACAGGATGCTCCTGATGGTATTCCTCCGAAGTTGGTAGAACTAAAAAAGCAGGAAATGAAGAAACAGATGGTAGTGTTTTTTGTTTAGATAAATGTTGTTTACCTTTGACGTTTCTAGGACGAGGAAAGCAAGTTGAAAATTAAGGAGGAGATTGAGAAGGTAATTGAAGAGCGAACAGGGCGTCAAGACCGTTCGAAAGTTCGAAGTCCAGAACGGAGTCTGGAGCGAGTCAAGGAACACAGTCCTCGGCGAGCTGACTGGGAGAGAATACGCGAACGGGATTATAATCGCGAGAGATTTCGTGAACGGTACCGAGACCGGTATGAAGAGGACTACCCAAAACATAAAGGTCGTGAGCACGAAAGGTAAAGCTCTCCCGTCATCGTTTAACAAGCATTTTCTTCTTTTATCGAATTAACTGTTAACTGACGTAGTTGCATATTGGGAGTGAGTACACATAATGAACGTTTTCATTTGCCAGTTGACCATGCCTCAAGAGACGAACGACAGTACAAGTTTCTAGGAGTAATCGCTTGAAGACAAGTGAAGGTCGGATGGAAAAGGCAGCAGTTTCTTGATACACTTGGAAAGTAGTGTACTTCTTAGATGTGTTGTTTAATTTTATCAGTCGATCAGTTTTACGTTTTAGATGCAGTTGTTTATATCATTTGCCGATATGTTATTAATACAGAGATCGCAAAACGGGGCAAATAATCTTGTACCCGGTTCTAGATATAATTGCCTTTTGATGAAGTAGTAATGCGGTCAAGATCACGGTAAGGTCTCGAGTATAATTCAGTCTATCATATAAAAATGTACTGGTTGATAAAGTGCAGAAGACAGAAGAACTTACTAAGAAATTTCGTGTTAAATATCTCTGGAGGATCACGGTGAAAAGATAGCATATTTCACTAATTGTGAAGCTTTCACTGGGATCTAAATTTGATCCCTTTAGGGTGGGTCTCGTGTTAAAATTTCTAGAGGATATTGATTACGCAAGGTATTCCACCTGATTATGCCATGGCTTGACCCAGAAAACATGGCCATAATGTATCGTCCTTCTTGTGCTTTCGCGTTCGAACAATAGGCGATACGGTTAGTTCGAAAAGTTTGCTACAATGTCTATTTTTTCATACTGGATGGCTAACCAACTTGACGCCTAGCCACATCAGTGGACCCACAATCCGTTTAGAATGACAGTTTGCGGAAAGCGCAAGAAGGTCTTCAGGAGATTCAGTATGGAACCTGCAGCGTCTGCGTAGCGTTACTGTTTGAAGTTGGAATATCTGCTCTTCTCAGGAAAGGAACATGAATTGGCTGATAAAGCAGTGTTGCCAACTCTCAGTAGTTGCAGTCTCTTCTATAAGCATTTGCCGTTTCAGCCAGTCAGTGAAATCTCCTTAAGTAAACCCTAAGGCGCACGATGATTTGCCAAAACCTCGAATATAACAATGAAAAAACATTATAAAACAAAACCAGCAGTGAAAGTGAATCAGATTATCTAGAGCCTGTTCCAAATTGACAGTGCTTTTTCCTTGGGAGCGATCAAACATCGGACAGCTAACGGAACTACTGACCTTTGGTAAGCCTCAGTCCGACACTGCAAGGAACGTACACGGATCTTGTGCTTGGTCGAAAGGCACTGTTGGAAACCTTGGTGTAGCTTGGGTCGGTTAAAATAAAACTGCCAAAAGCAACTGTTTTCTTTATTAAACGCCTGATTAGGGTGCACCCAAACTCTTAAGTGTCGCAGTTACAGAATCGGCCAAGTAGTTTCGAAGGCTTCCGAATGCGAGCCCCTTGTTTTCTTTGGAGACTGCATAAGTAGACCGACGCATTAGGTGAGCGGCGTGATAGTGCAGGATTTGGTTGTCTTTCACAATTCTGAACGAGTCCATATCGTCTTTAATCTGCACAGCACCGAAACCTATCTCCGCATTTTACTGGTTATTGCATTAATCTGATATTTCCTTCTAAGACTCGCATCCACAAGGTAACTTACGTTTCCCCAGCCCCTTACGTCCGTGTTTTATCTTCAAAAACGTTGTTGCGGAACTGCGCATTTGATAGGCAAGTTCCGTATAGGGTCTGCTTTTTGCGCCTTACATTGAAATTGCAGTCCACAGACTTGGATTAAGTGTTAGGCCAGTGTCGCTCATCCAGTCTCTCACCTCTTGAATGTAGGTGGAGATGCAGTAATTCAGATCTGGACTGTACTGAAACTGATATACCAGTCATCAGCGTACTTCACACGTGGTACTAGCATGAGATGTGTGATATCGCTGGACGTATGACATGACATTGCAGGTGAGAAACAAGATCCTTGTGCGTCCCTTCGCGTCGTCAGGCGAGCCGTAGGTTTCTTCTTGCCGACCCGGTCAGATTCTCGGAATCCCGAGTAATTTGTGGCCAGCAGGTTGATATTGGGAGACTCCACATCGATATTGGCCAACAGTCTGAGCAGCTCAATTTTTGGCAGCCTGTTGTAGGCTAAGCTGCAGTCCATAAAGGCACTCCTTAATGATTCTTGCCTTTCGTCGAGGTTACTCGCAGTGGTATTGATGACTGTAGTCATTGAATCCAAAGTATTGCGTCCTCAGGCATCCGAATTGCTAGGGATCGACATGTTCCAGCACCTTTGAAGACCGTGTATAAAAATTATAGATTTGGAAAATGGGTATTAAGTTTTCTCTGTTGGAGCTGAGCCAACCATGGCATTGTTGACGGTACTTGACAGCCACTGACCTAAAGGCGGTTGTTGAATGAATCGGCATAGGGAGAAGGATTTGTACATTGACTCTCGGGTTACTAGAGCCTGCGTTATTCTAAGGCAAATGTATGAGTACAGCCTAGAGTCGCATTATGAATCTTTCACAGAGGAAATAAATGTAGCTTTAATAGGGATAACTAACACGGAATCCATTCCCAGAATTGAGACTTCAGTGCACAAACTCACGACCAGCTATGGCATGGTATAATCAGAAGAAACGCGACTCAAACACCAGCATGAATGGTGTTGAATTGCGGGTCTTCATTTGTGCAAACGACCTACCCTTAATCAG